GAGGCTGCCAGAGCTCCAGGTGACACCCAGGACATTGCTGGGATGTCTGTGCAGAGCCAGGGCTGGATTTGATCCCTGTGGGCCCTTTCCTGCCCAGGACATTCCATGGCTGTGTGATTCCAGGGTTACTTACACAGAAAGGCACCTCAGGGTTGTTGCACACAAGGCAAGGATCACTCTCCAGGTAGTAGCCATCAAACTCCACGAGCCCAGACAATGTGCTGGAATGAGGGAACAACACTGACACATGGAGCTGGGCATTTGCTGCTTTAAACTCAGCCATTCAACCAGAATCACTTTAACTTCCCCCATTTCCCAGTCCCAGTGTGTAACAGAACTGTTATAGTGTAAATCACACTGGAAATAACAGCTTTTAATTAAGCACTTTTATTCTAATTATCAATGGCTAAGGTGGGACCAAGAACACTCAAAACTGCAAATCTCTATTTTCCAGCTGGGCCTAAGATTTTATAACATTTATTGAGCAGAAGAGCTCAAGCCAAGCTCTGCTGGTGGAGCCCAAAGCCAGGCTTGCATTGGCAGGAGGATTCTGCTGCTCTCCAAGCCCAGCAGGCACAAACCTCAGCAGGGCCCATCCCAGCACCATGGATGGAGCTCAGCTGGAGGGCCCTGCAGAGCCCTGGATCCAAGGCACAAAGACTCACTTGTAGATGTTGGAGTTGGGGTGGTTGGTGAGAATGTGGTTTTGGGTCCGGAGGATCTCCACGGCCTTTTGGGAATATTCCTTCAGCTGAAATAAAACCAGGCAAAGTCAGTCTTCAAAACAATGCTTTTATTGCTACACAGACACAAACATCCTCATCTTGTGGTGTTCCAGGTGCCCCAAAAGAAGTACACACCACACCCACAGGAATTTATGTGTTTAAATCATTACCCAGGACTGTAATTGATCCTAAAATTTGAGATTGACACAGTAAGTGCTGTTTCTCAGTCAATCCCTGCAGGGGTCTGCCAAGATTTGTACAGCATGCCCCACTCTCTAAACATACTCATGCAAGTATCAATGGGTCTAAATTGTTTGTTCTCAATCCCACTGATCCCCTAAAAGAGGCCACAGCTTCCTTTGTTCAAACATCATGGTTACAAAAGATTTCTAGGAGTTGCAATATCAAAAACCTAAAAACTGGAGCTGCCAGATCCACAAAAGCCTCCTGTGGGAAAGAGGTATTTTTCTCAATAAATAAACTCACCAGCACAATTTCACCCCCAAAACAATAAAACAAAAATCCACACTTCCAAATTCTTTAAGGATCCTGCTTTTTTTAACACTGAAGTTCTAATAACATGAGAAATTTCCAGCAGAAGCTCATCTGTGCCAGCTGTATCATAAATGAGCACATGGGATGCTGTACCTCCCTTCTGGAATGTCACTGTACCTTTTTCTCAGTCTGCTGTGTTTTCAGGGAGAAGTATCCCAGGAGATCCACAAACTGGGCAGCCTTCCTTCCATAGGCTGGCAGCTCTGGCCAGATGGACCACATGAGATCCAGCAGCAGCTCCTGCTGGGACTTGTTGGAGTTCCTGTCGGGTGGATTACAGACAATCAGGGCTCTTGTGCACAAGGAGAACAAGCTCCAGTGCACCAAAGTGGGAAACCATCACCTTGCAGAGCTCACAGAGCTGAATCCCACCAGCACAGTTCTGTTTTCCAGCACTCCAAAACAAAAGCAGCTGTCCTGCAATAACTGAACAGAGCTCTCAAGTAGCCCAGCTCCCTAAAGCACTCCTCTCCCCACACAGCTCCCAACTTTTCACAGTGGGAGTCTGGATCTGAATTTCTGTGATTTCCTCAGAAATTCACTCTGCCCACAAACACCTGCTCCTGGCCATGACAGGAGTGAGATTTTGCAGGCAGAAATGAAGAGCTCCTTGCAGGTGACAACTGAGATGGACCATGGGTAAGTCACAACTTCACCTCCAGCCCAGTAATGCAAACCACGAGGGCAATTCCAGGGGAACCCAACACCTGCAGGCTCCAGAGTCCTTCAGGGCCTGAGGCAGCCCAGGCTCACCTGTAGATGTGCAGGGCCAGGCAGTGGGCCTGCCACCTCACTGAGGAGGAGTTGGATTCCAGCAGGAAGCAGCGCAGGAACTGGATGAGGGTCTCCTTGTCAGCAAACTTGTTCAGCTGGTTCACCAGGGCCGTGCACAGCTGGTCCTCCTGGCTGCCTGAACCCTCCCCTGGGGACACAGGCAAGGCTTTAGGGGCAAGATAAATGCAGCACCTCACAGGCAGGCTACCCTCCTATTTCAAAGAGTCAGGATCATGGGGACAAATTATTATGTTTCAGGTAACAAGGAAGTTTAATATTCCTGTCTTTTTCAGAAATAGAACCCAGCACTCCTGACTAACAGGAAAAAAACTGCAGGAAAGCTTGCCAGTGAGGACGTGAGAAATGTGCCACACATCCTGATAAAAAGAAAGGACTGACCATGAGGCAATGAAAAGCCTCACAGAGAACCATCTGATGGTGAAAGCCAAAGCGGCTCCTTGAAGGAAAGCCAAGAGAGAATTTATGCCCGTGACTTTTATAGGGAAGCTTAATTACTTTCCCAGGACTGTGGATATTCATTAAGCAGCAGCCCTGGCTCCAGCAGAGCTTCCAAGGCAGCCAGAGGAAACAAGTCTGAACACAATCACTGCAGAGCACAGCTAACTGGGTGTGCATCCCCAGGACTTGTTTTAATCCTCGTGAGCCTTTCAGCCTCCCACAACCCAGGACAGGCAAGTTAAGTGGAAGCTGCTTCATCACCAGGTTAGGTAACACCATTAGACAACTTCAAAGCCACTCAAGGCAATAAACACAGTGAGTTTGGGATGTTCTCAGCACGTGGCTTCAGCCCAACTCTCAGGACACTCTGCTTCACCTGAGTCCCCTCTGCACATGGGAAAACTGTTCCTCTCTCCTGACTGTGGCTGTGGGTGCCCTTGCCACGAGCCATGACCCTTTCCCAACAGCAGGATTTAACATCCAGCTCTTTCTGAACACAGTAAGAAAGGCTGTGAGTGTTGGGGAAGAGGAAACAGGAAAGCCTTATAAATATGATTGGCTGGCAAAAGAGTTTGATAATATAGAAACTATAAGCAAAATTGAAATGAAAGCAAGCTTTGAGATTCCTTAGTTACTGAACAACTGGGAAACAATGGTGTGGCTGCTGAAGGTGATCCCCTTTTGATGGAACAACACCCTCTGCTTGCAGACAGGCCCAAGGCTCAGAGCAGACCCTGCAGTTTGGCAGAAGGGCCCAAAGAGGAGTTTTTAGGGTTTAAAATGTAACACAGTGTGGCAATGTAATGATTCTTATAGGCTGTATGGAAATGCTGTAGGATTTGTATCTTGTGCTAGATTGGTTAGTGAGAATTAGAATATTCAACACAGAAGATTTATTGTACTGGAACGGGAACTTAACTCTCTTACCCTTTTACTCTCTTACCTTTTTTACCCTCTTACACTCTCACCCTCTCATCCTCTCTGCCCCTCTCCTCTCCCAGCCCTGCTCCAGCTGTGTCTGGCAGCTCCCAGCAGGGCCCTGCACTTGGCCCTTTGCAATGAACCCCAAGTTCCTGACCTGGCTGCAGAGATCTCCCATCTCCATCCATCCCCACCATCCCACCCCCGACACTCCAACATGTGAGAGCAAACTTGCTCCTAAAACCACAGGCCAGGGCCCAGCTGCCCCTCACCCTCTCGCTCCTTCTCCTTTTCCTCCTTCTTGCTCTTTTTGGTGGAGGATTTGCTCTGCGCCGCCGCCTGCCCTGAGCCTGATGCTGCAGGAGCAGAGCTGGAAGAGGTGCTGGAAGCTCCAGAGGATGAAGCCACAGACAGCACTTTGCTGCCACACAGAGCACAAGACAACAGCTGCAGGAGAACTGGGGACACTCCTTCGTCTACCAGGAAGCTGACTTGGAGCAGGAAGTAGAGAACAGCTGTGGAGGAAAGGGGAAAATGTTTGAATCACACAATCATGGGATGTCCTGAGCTGGAAAAGGCTCAGAGGGATTGAATCCAACCCAGGTCCTGCACAGACACCCCAACAATCCCATCCTGTGCCTGAGAGCATTGTCCAAATGCTCCTGGAGCTCTGGCAGCCTCAGGGCCGTGCCCATTCCCTGGGGAGCCTGGGCAGGGCCAGCACCCTCTGGGGAAGAGCCTTTCCCTGATATCCAACCTAACCCTGCCCTGACACAGCTCCATGCCACTAAAGCCTGAATTAAAAAAGAAAAAAAAAAAAGAAAAGAAAAAAAGCCACCCAGCCTAAACCAAAAGCCTTTGTACACAAGAAGGAAACTCCCAGGACTGTCCTATCCCTGGACCACAGAAGCCTAACACTGGGGTACACCAGGTACAGTGGCTCATCCCCAATGACTCCCTGGCACAATGGCAGCACAAGCAAGAGAACACAGATCTCCTGTTCCTCTAAGTTATCCATGACACCACATCTTGCTCTTTAGCCAAGGACCAGAGGCAATTAGGGCACTGGGATAATGAGTACTGGAAACAGTTCAGTCCTATCAAAACCCTCATCTGTGCTGAGCTTCCCCATCTGAGCCACCTCCATCCCAACCACGACAGCACTGCTCCCCAAACCCTGGGAGACAGAACTCACAGTCATCCTTGATGCAGAATTTCTGCCAGTTCACTGTTCTCTGCGTGGCAATCTCTGCACAAGCCTTCAGATGTTCCATCTGCAGGTACAAAGGGATGGGATCAGAGTGGGATCAGAGCACACCAGCACTCCTGTCACACCAACAGCGCCCCGAGGCCTTTCCCTGCTGCTGCCCTCACCAGGGAGATCAGGGTGTCGTACTGCAGGGCAGAGCCTGAGCTGGCTGTCACCACGCTGGCCCTGAGGAAGATGCCCTGCTCCTCCAGGAGCTTCTTGATGCCTCTCACGTGCGAGTCCAGCGTGTGCAGGTCCCGCAGCTGCCGGTACTTGTCCTTGGAGCCGCAGATGAAGAGCAGCAGCTTGCGCACCTGGCGCCGCACGAACGGCGTCTGCTGGATCATCAGGTACTGCAGGGCACAGTGAGATCAGCACCAAAAATGAGAGTTTTCTTCCAAAAGGCAAACAGATAGGAGATGAGTTCACCCAGCTTTAATCTGTAGTCCCAGGCAGAACAGACACTGCACAGCAGCACTGCACCACTTGCTGGAAATCATGTCCAACCTCAAATAAACACCCAAGCAAGGCTAATTAAGAAATCCCAACTCATACTTGTGTAAATGGAAGATAACTTGTTATGTAAAGCAGGAAGCAGACTGAGAAGACAAACACCAAATATCTTCCTGATTTCTTTTGTAAGGCCCAAGTACCAACAGCTGAGCATGATGTTACATTGTTTTCCATCTCACAGCAGGTTTTCTCTCTAAGCTTTGTGGCAGCAACCACTGAGTTCCAAGAAATAACAGCAACCTCATTTTTCATGTATGTTTTCCTACAGATTCCTGTTCAACAGGAATGCACAAAGCAAACAGTTCACCTTCTTTCAAGGGGATTAAAAATACAAGATGGAGCTGAGATCAGCTCTGCAAAAGCTCATCTCTCCCATGCAAGAAATCATTATTGGAGTTTTCCTGAGGAAATCTGCAGGTGTATCATGCTCTTGCTTACCTCAGACAAAAAGTAGAACCAGGAGTGATCAAAGATGGGCGGGGGGATGCGGGAGTTGGTGTCTGCAATCTTCTTGATCTGGTAGGGCAGGCGCAGCACCATCTCTGTCAGGAGCTGAGTGTAGGCCTCAAAAACATCTGCAGCGTGACCCTGGCAGCAAGAGAAATCAATCCCTCAGGCTCTGAGCACACCCAGCGTGGGGCCATGATGAATGACAGGGTGCTTTTGCTGATTTTATAAAAACAATGGATTTCTGCCCCTTTGCAGCACAAAGAATGCTCCCAGATGATGAATAAGAACCTGCACAAGGCCTTGAACTGGAGGGCAGCTGTGAGGGTGCACTAAGCTAGTCTGGAGTGATAATGCAGCTCAACTCAGGAGCTTTCAGCTTAGGAGACATTCTTACATTCAATCATTTTGCACTGCACCTGTGCCAACACCAAACCATGGCATAATGGCACCACAAGCCTGGGAATTACTGTGGAAACTCCCACCCACCATTCCACTTCCTTGGTGTTGGGAATTTAGCTGCTAGAAAATGGAAAAGTACAAAACCATGGCTAATTCCAAGTCCTGCATCTGCACAGATAGCAGTGTCCTTGGGCCTAGCTGTGGTAGGATAACAAACAGTGAAAGAGACATGAGAAAAGAGAGATGGAACCCCTAAGGAATGAGGAAGAGTTCATGGTATAGTTTAACCAATAGATTGCTTGGCTTACAGAATATTCATAAGCTTAATACTCGCTGTATAAGTGTCTGATGCTCTCTTCAATAAACGGAATTTGCTTATCACTCATACTGAGCGTCTGAGTCTCCCCTCACCAACAAATGGCTTCCCCGGCAAAGGCCCATTTTCTCTGTGACACCTTGGCACACTAAGTTCAGGAATTCTGCCTGCCAAGCACAGGAGTCATGGCTTGGAGCAGCTTCCCTTCAGCATGATTAACAATTCCTCCAGAACAGCTCCAGAGAACTCCTGGTTAGGAGTGCACCAAGGGATGCAGGGAGAGATGGGAGAGGAGCTGGGCTGCCCAGAGAACTCTGAGCACTCCCAGCTGTAACTCTGTGCCACAAGATGGATTTTGGTTGCTCTTCTAAGGGCAAACTCGTGGTGCAGGGCTGCTTTCCATGCAGCCTCCCCTGAGTGCAGGCCCTGCCCAGCTGCCAGCACAGGGCAGGACTCACCTTCACGTACTGGCGGAGGAAAAAGGGGCTCATGTCAGGGGGAGAGGAGGTGGTGTGAGGCTTCAGCAGCTGGCTGGTGGCCACGGGCTCCTCGTCGTTCTGCTGGCTCTTCCAGTACTCCAGCAGGGACTTGAGCACGTGCAGACAGTAATCAACAGCACCAGAGCTCAGCAAGGCAGCTGCTGTGGCACTGGAGATCAGGGAGGAAGCCTGGAACAGAGGGAAGGAGCTGGATCAGGAACACACCTGGGAGAGCCCTGAGCACCTGCTGACAGTGTGGGCAAGAGAGCAGGTCTGCATGAAACTTTGCAGGCAGCTTTTAAGTTTGGGGTTTGTTTGAGGTTGGGGTTTTTTGGTTCAGTTTTTTTTTTTTTGTGTGTGTGTTTATAAAAAGCAACTCAAATATTTACAGAGACTCTTTTGAACAAGTGCTTAGTAAAGGAAAACAAATAAAATCTCCTCTTAAGTCTAATCTCCCCTCGACACATGTGCCAGAGGCCACTCTGCTGTGGATTAGACGGCTAGGGCTTTCTTCCCTTCTTTTTTTCCCCCTTCTTTTTTTTGGTTTTAAGTTGGGATTTCTATTTGTTTATCTGGGATTTGGCCAGCTGGGCGTGAATCCTGGTAGAGAAAGAGTCCCTGTTGCAGCTGCCTCTCACAGGCTCTGCTCCACCCAGGTATTGCTCCACCTGCATTCTGCAAGACGAGCAGCTTTGATTTCTGTGGGAAGCTCAAGTGAGTAACAAAGGCTGGAGAAAAAGCTACTGTAAATAAAACTATTAAAGCAGCCCTGTAAATCCAAACAAACCCCACAGCTCATAAGCTCATTAAAATTTGATGCAGTTCAGACTAAATTTTTTAACCTCTATGCTTTTTTATTAATCTCCTTCCCACCACACATACTGCTTTTTATGCCTTATTACTGTACCTTTTAGCAACAAATATCTAAGGAATCCTCTTAGCGACTTTTACGTTGACACAGCAGCATATTGCTTTCCAATAATCACATTACAAATCCTCTTTAACCCCTTCAGCACTGGTGAGATGCAAGGGAGAAATCAGCCAGACCGTTTTAAGCACCATCATTAATGTGCTGCCCTGAGCTCAGTCTGGAACCATGCACAAAACAAGAGCATCCAATTGTCTTTCCACGGCTGCTTCCTCCAGCCCCAGTTTCAAAACTCTTTTTCCACAAGAGTTCAGTAACACTACAGGTTCCCTATAAATTTTACCAAAGCCCTCTCAAGGATGTTTCAGTTTTACACCTGTTATTTCAGTGAGCAGCTTTGTTTTTGATGAACAAAAGCCCCCTAAGCACATCATGGAATCCCAGAATGGTTTGGGTTGGAAGAGACCTTAAAGTTCAACCCATTCCAGCCTCTGCCATGGGCAGGGACATTTTCTACTGTCCCACTTTGCTCCAAGCCCTGTCCAACCTGGCCTTGGGCACTGCCAGGGATCCAGGGGCAGCCACAGCTGCTCTGGGCATTCTCTACCCTTACAGGGAAGGATTTCTCCCCAATATCTGATCTAAATTTCCCCTCTTTCAGCCTGACCCTTTCCCCCTTGTCCTGTCACTCCAGCTCCTGATGAAAAGTCCCTCTCTGGCTTTCCTGCAGTCAATTTTACACCATAGAAGGTGTTGTGGGGTCTCCTCACAACCTTCTCCTCTCCAGGCTGAGCATTCCCAATGTCCCAGCCTGTCTCCACAGGGGAGGTGCTCCAGTCCCCTCCATGGCCTCCTCTGCACTTGTTCCAGCAATTCCATGAGTTGGAATTGTGTGTGAGTGCTCCACGTGGGATCTCGTGAGAGCTGAGTAAAGGGGGAGAAAATCATGCCCTGACAAAGCAAATTGGAGAATGTACCTCACAAATGGAAGTCTTGGATCCTGACTTGGTCCTGGACATGAAGACACTGAGCAGCCTCATCACCACCAGGTGCACCTCGTTCACAGGGGAGCGCTCGTTCTTCTTGGACACATCCTGCAGGCAAAGACACATCCTGCTGCTCAATCCCGAGCTGAGCAGCATCCCAGGCCTCTCAAGTTCAGTGCTCTGATCCTCAGGAAGCATTTCTAATTCAAGCTCAAGCAGTAAGACTGAAAAAGCAGCACAAATGCCTCAACAGGAGGGTAGGCAGTGGCCTGGCTGCCAGAGAACAGTCCCACACAAATGAAAAGCCACATATGCCAATCATGCATTTACTGATCATGGCTCTTCTCAGAGTTTAATTCCAGCAAAACAAATTTTCATGCTCACTTGTGGATGTCAGACCCAGGAAACAGTGGGAGTTCCACTCATGCCATTTTCCACCTTATGTGAAAGGAGGCAAGAGGAATGAACTGCCTGACCACATGCACACAGCAATGTTTCTGTGACTCCCAAGCATTTCACTCCTCCAAGGAAATAAACCCTGCCGAGAAGGAGCAAACTCAGAGCATGAGCCCACACTGCACTTTACCTTTTTGTCCATGCCCAGCTCTGCAATCAGCTGGGACAGAAGGTTATCCAAAGCTCCCTTGTCTTTCTCATCCTCCCCATCTAGGTCTGTTGTGAGCATCAGAATAACCTGGGAAAAGCAGTCAGAGAATTATTAGAGGGCAGGTTCCACATTATCAAGATAACAATTTATCTTTCATGAAACAGCACTGATTTTATCTTGATTTATATGTGTTCTTTCCCAAATCCAGCCTGTGCCTCACATCCTAATATGAACATTCAGCATAAACCCACAAGACCTTCCCAAACACAGTGGAGCTCAAGGATTGGAGCCCTCAGGCTCCTCAGTCAGCTGTAAAGTCACACTGAGAAAGGGCACAAGTCCAAAAACCTGTGGGTAAAGAATGCTGTGCAACAGATGGACTCACACTGTGACTGGGCAGGAAGGAGAAAAGCACATGCAAACAGAAATCAGTGATTGAACTGTTTTTGATTTGGGCTTAACTGTGAGCCCTCCTCACTCACCTGCATGTAAGGGATGGCCCGGACGCCCCCCACGTTCCTCAGCTGGGGCAGGTTCTGCAGCAGCCTCTCCAGCAGCATCAGCCTGACCATGTGCAGCCTGGGGAGTCAGTGATCAGCAATCAGAGCCAGCCCACAACACCCCACAGCCAGCAGGTCCCCAGCAGAGCACTGCAATCTGCCCCACAAACCCTAAGCCATCCAATCCTCCCAGGGGGGACAGGACTGGCTCAGACCTCACAGGGCAGAGAAGCCAAAGATGCAGAGCATGTCTGACAATGGAGCCACACTGCCCAGCCTGGCCACCTGGGATTGCAACTGCATGGGAACACCCTGCAAATCAGCCCCACACTGCTTGGAGAGGGGACTGAGCACCTGCTCCCACACAATGAAAAGTGCCCATGTTCCCAAAGGACACTGGCACATGCTTTTGTCCTAACAGTGAATTTCACAGGCTCCCAAGATTTCAGTGATTCCATGTTAACTAGACTCATGCAGCATTTTTTCATCACTTCCTAGAGGCAGCAGTTTTGTGGGACACACACTGGGTGTGTTTGTCACACCACATGATGATTGCACAGAGGGTGCTGGGCACTGCCCAGGCTCCCCAGGGAACAGGCACAGCCCTGAGGCCTCCCAGAGCTCCAGGAGTGTTTGGACAACACTGGGATGCAGAGGGTGGGATTGCTGGGATGTCTGTGCAGGGCCAGGGGCTGGACTGGATGCCATTTGTGGGTCCCTTCCACCTCAGGACACTCCATGATTTTGCAATGGCAGCTTGCTCTAGTCTGTGTTTCTGACTTCCCACTCTGGTTACCCAGCAGTCACAAATCCCACTCCCACACTGCAGCCCCCTCCTCTGCCACCATCCCCAGAGCACAGAGCTGTTCTACCTCAAGAGGAAGCAAAGTCTCTTGCCTGTTGCTGGTGTGGACGTCCCCCTCCGCCTCCCCTTCCCCCTCGGAGCCCTCTCCCTCCTGCTGGCCCGTGGTGGTGCTGATGGCTCC